CCCCAAAACCCCAAAACCCCAAAACCCCAAATTATATGATCGATCTATCAGAATGCAAGATTTAATTATAAAGTTAATAAATTTTATTCAGTTATAAATGAGTTCTGATAGGAGACCCAATACCTCACGACCCATGATTAGAGGTCAACTCCTGGGAAATCCAAACTCCTTATAAAGTGAGCTTGACTTAGAATAGAAAATAATAATTAATAGATTGATCAGAGAACTGCAGAATGATAACTCTGTAGACATTGCAGCTGTGCTTAAAAAACCACACATCCACAGAATTTTTAAGGAAGAATTTACACTCACAGATAAGGAGATAAGAGATCTTGAGACTGTAATATCAAAAAATTGTGATGAAATTGTTAACAACTTTGTAAAAACTGACTCATTGATACCATTAAAAGGAAGTAATTCACAGGCCATTTATTAATAGTATAAATAACAACCGCTTAGTCTTTTGCAAAAAAAAGAATTGGATCATTATCTAGAGTTGGATTACTCTATTTATCCAGCTTAACCTTGTGTTAGATCATTGTATCTTGTTTCTAAGATTGCTCAAAGTTAGCAAATTAAAATCCTTGTGCCACCTTCTATTCTTATTGGATTTGGCGATGATAATAGAATGATCTATAATGATCCCTAAAATGGCAATTTGATTGTTAAAAGTGGCTATATTTCTCCTAAAATAATTTAGCAGTTCATATAAAAACACATGTCATATGAATAATCAGAATAAAGGATAGAAGATAGAATCCTTTTTCCTAAATACGTAATAAAGTTGGCCTCCAAAAATCACATTAAGAATGATATTAGAATATACTATAGCAAAGATTCTTTATTAGCTGATTTAATGAGTTATTGGGGAGCTTATGATATGGCAATCTAGTAATTTGTAAAATAAAAGCATCTTAGGCCTTCAATATATAGATACTATATGAAGAATGGAAATATCTATAAAGCAGTGTGCATTTCAAATCAAGAAAATTTGACTAAGGAAACCAGGCTATATAAGACAATAATGGGTTTGGTTTATGATCAATACTAAAAAACAAAGAAAATAGTTAATCCAAGGCCTAAAAGTAGTGTGGTAAGGAGAAGAGATGCATTTATTGGGTTGAAACAAACTAATAATTAGATCGATTAAGTCTAGCGAGCTATTAAAAGAAAAATTTCTATTGATCGTATTATTAGTCAAGCTACTCATGAAGACGCGTTAGATGAGAAAGGATTTCCAGTCTCATTATAAAATTTCAGACTAACTGAATTTCATAACGAGATTTAACAAGCAGTTAGTGTCAATGACTTAAAAAAATATTTTTGCGTAACTGCAGATAATCTTGACAATTTGACAATGATGAGCTGCAGACCAGGAGCTTAATCATAGGCAGATAAAATGACTAGTGATTTGTTTAGATTGTACTCATAGTACTATCTTAAAACTCAGAAATTCGGAAACGTAAGTTAATTTGTCTGTGATTTCATTGAAGCTGAGAATGGTCTTACCTATCTCTTGTAAGTAAAGAGCTTTGAATGTGAAGGCCTTCTTCATGATTGGTAAGTTCCATGGAGTCCCCAAAAGTCTAAATTATTAAACAGTTAGAGTCCAAATAATAATGGTGTCACGAAAATAGAATGTGATGTACCATTGTAGGAATCATAATGCTAGGCAAAAATTTTATGTGCTTCAAAAAAAATTAATCCTCAACTAAGAGACTTATTTTGTGAAGTTTGTAAGGAAGTTGATTTATGGTAGTTTACTAATAGAAAAGGTTTGGTACCAAGAGTTTAATAAAGAATAATAGACAAATATCATAAGGAGTTAAACCAAGGAAAAGAAGGATTTCTACTGCAGTCAGAAAAGGCTAAAATCAGTCCTTTATTCCCATTAACTACTTTTCCTGAGGAATTTAAATAAAACAATACTATAGCTTAATCACCAACAAGAATTAAAAATTCTATAATCATGAAAAAACAGATATCTACATAATCAAGAGAATCTGAAAACTAGTAATTAGAGGATTTGAATCATGATCAAGAAAGTTAAAAAATCGAGTCACCCTGCTGTTTTGCATGTGCAAAGGTTTTGGAACTATTCCAAGCGAGATACTTCAGCTTAGTTTTTAAGACAGATAATACAGTTGAGAATCTGAGAAAACTAAAGTCGAAGCTAGGAGATGAATGGAATCTAAAAGATTTAAAGTTTCTTGTTGGGATATATAAAGAATCAAAGAATAGCTTGTTCATTATTTCTGACATATTTAAGTTGGAGAAGAAAAGATAAAGAAAAATGCTTAAGCAAAGATAAAAGACTCCAGATTCAGTAGTTGAAAAGTCACTAAAGAGATACACCCTTCAATCATACTCAAATCAATTAAACAATTCTAATAGAGAAAGCTTAGGATCCAGGTAGGGAGCTAGAACAACTAATTCTTTGAGAAGATCAATGCATCGAAAGAATGAAATTTAAGATATGGATAATTATAGGGAAAGTGATGGGTTTAGTAGAAATTTAATAATACCAAACACCTCAAGAACATTAATAAGAGAGAACAGCTAAAATGATAGTCTCTAACCTAAAAGGCTAATGAGTGCAAGAGGGACCGTTTAACCTCTAATCATGTCCAAAGAGGGGTTAAATGCACAAAAATCAACTATTGATGAGAGTTAAAGCTCCAACAATAAAGGAGGCTAGGGTTCCTAGAAATAATTGAATATAATTACCCAACATTTATAAAGCTTTCGAGAGAAAAAGAAGTCTGAAAGTCTTATTAATGTGAAGGAGATTTTGAAATAAAGAGAGCAATTAAGCATAAAAATAAACCAGTAATTAGAAACTATTGAAAGCGCATATCAAGATTTTAAACCATAAAAATTAAAAGTAAAGATCGTTGAATCACATAACAATTCAGAGATAAGTGAAACTCATAAGGATCCAAATGATCGAGAAATAAAAAACATGTCTCATCGTTATAGTTTAAGATTGACAACAGATTCAGCATCAAAGATCTTAGAGTAAAAAACTCGAAATATGCCATCAGCATTCCTTGTACATTAAAAAGCTTAAAACAAAATCAATTAAACCTTGAAGAACTATATCAATACTTCTACCATAGATTAAGACAAGGATGGTAAGTTGTTCTTTAATATATAGGATAACAGAAGTTAACTCAAAACCCATAGAGGCTTCAATGTTTAACAAACTTAAAAAAAATAAATGAAAAATGAACGCTCCTAAGATAAAGTAATTAATAGCTACTTTGAGAATAAAAGGATAATGGATAAGAGTGCGAGCAGACAACCGGAACTAAAACAGAAAAATTCTTTAAAAGAACTTTAGAGAGAACTAAGTATGAGCAACTTGGTTGTTATATGATATCTGTTCTTCCTGGAATCTCTTATTAGAATCAAAAGCTGATTGGCATAATGATTTGTTAGTATATTTAGACTTTCTTAATTTCTTTTAATAGTATTTAATTTAATGAAATTATCAATTAATCAATGTGTATTGAAGAAGGAAATCAAATCATTAACAATCAAGTTGAGGTATTCCGCATCTTGAATAATGAAATGGTCTAACTCATCATAAGTTATAATTGCTTTATCTTCTATTGGGAATAAATCAAAAGCCTATTTGGCTGTTTTGTTACATACTACATTCTCGTTTCCACCAAGTATCATAATCAAGGGTGTGATAATTTTATCTTTTTCGTGCTCTAGGAACTTCTTTTTCATCTATTCTCCTACTATGATGTTATTTACTGAAATTTTCCCTGCCAAATTAAATTCATCGTCTAAAAAGTTTTGGTAATGCCTGGTAAACCTTCCATCACTTTTAACTGGGAATGAGGCAAGTTAGTAATTAGGGGCTACATAATTCAAAAGCTTGGCTAATCCGATGTATTTATCAATCATTTCTTGATTTAAAAGTTAAAAATAAGGTGCTAGTAGTCCCATTGCTTGAAAATAATTCTTCGGCTATGCCAAAGTTAGCTTACATGCTATGTTACTTCCCATTGAATATCCAACCATATATCTCGAGAGATTTTTCTCACCATAAGATTAATCAACTTTCTCCATAAATCCTTAGTAATCACTGAGCAGTGATTCCTCTGATTCTATTCTTGCTCTTTTACCTTCACTTCTACCAAATCCTCTTTAATCAATAGCAAAGAAATCGTAGCCTGCTTTGGCGAAATACTAAGCAAAGTATGCATATCTGCCCGCATGCTCACCATATCCATGCAGGAAATGAATAATACCTTTCCTTTCAGCTTAGTTAACAGCTGGATACCTGACATTGTAAATTTTAATCTCTTCATTTTTGTGTTTGACTCTATAGTCTATTGGACATATTTCGGGGAATTAGAATCTTTTGAAATCAATGTGCTTTCTTTCAAACATCATTTGCTCCTACGATATTTATCTGCCCATACCACCTGTCATATCATACTTAAGATTTTGAACATTTTTACCTTTCTTTAATGTCTTAATAATGATTTGACTCTTCTTCTTATTTTGATTGCTTTTCTCTAATTCTTCAATCTTTTTATAAAAATCCTAGGCAGACTTCCCATTCGGGTCTGAGTCAATTTCAGTAATTTTATCAAATATCTTCTTAATCTGATCTGGTTAAATGAAAGATGTATCTTCAGTCTTAACCTGCTACTGATCTTATTTAAGTTTAAGAGTCTATTAATATTCTTATTACTATTTCTTATTTTATTCTAAATCTAATTAAGCTAGCTTCTCTGCCTTATTAGTTAGTTTTTGCTTCTCTTCCTCAGAAAGCCCTCTTGGATCTTCTTTCATGTAATTCTGAACATACTGTTTAATATAATCAGCATCAGAAGGTTGATATCTAGATTTGTCAAGATCTTTATCTTTCATGTATATTTATGCTTTGTTGAATTGAATAAGAGGTACGTTTTAAAATATCTTTTTTTTTAGTAGATGAGCTAATTTCATTTTTTTGGTATAATATAAATATTATAAAATGCTCTAATTAATTAACAGACATTAATTTAATGTCCTATATTTATGAAATTAGCATTAAGGGGTTTTGGGGTTTTGGGG